GCTCGCGCCGCCGCCCGCCCTCACGTTCTCGTCGCCGGACAGGTCGCCGGGGTTGCTGTTCTCGTCGCTGCTCAGCTTCTGCTTCTTGGCCGGCATCTCGCCGCCCGCTCCCGCCGCCGCCGCCGGCGCTTCTCCCCGCTCAGACATCTTCCCCGCCCACCCGCTGCTGCCACACCGCCGCAAAGCGCGCCCGCCCGGCCCGCGCGCGCCGTAAAGCGGCGCCYGCCGCGCCTGCCACACTGCTGAAAAACACCGAAAAAGACCCGGCCCGCCGCTCCCCGCTGCCTGGCCCCCACCGCGGCCGTTACTCGCGTTACGCGGCCGTGAGGTAAAAACGGCCCCGCGGCGTCTCCCGCGCCCCTCGAGTGCCGCGTGTGCTGCCCGGAGCCCTCCCCGCGCCCCCGGGGCCGGTGGCTCGCCCTGAGGCGCCGTGGCCTCCGTGCCAGCGCGGAGATGGAGATTGTAGCAACGTTAGTGGCGTTTCCGCGCCTCGAAACCGCGGGTCGCAGCCGCTGTGGGCGGTAAAACCCCTTCGCCGAAGGGGGAACACTGTGGGCTCGCAGGCGCCGTGTCTCGTCTTGCTTTTCTGGAAAGCCAGCAGCAAGTCTTTCCTTTCTAGTCGCGGATTCCCCGAGAGGAGCCGTGCCCTGTATCTAAAATTTAATCTGGCTTCACCTTCCAGATAATTAGGAAGAAATATGCAGGCGATGGCGAGCAGATTATAGAGTTTTTAGCAATAAGCAGTTTCTGTTTCTTCTGCTATGGAAGTGCAAGCTCCAGGGGAGTGATACATTACACACGGCGAAGTGTTGTGTTGTTCACAACAGTTGTCAAAAGCTCAGGGAGGTCGCAGCTGCCCAGGTTGGTGCTCTGCGGTCAAGGTTGTGATAAAACCTTTCTGCMTTTGTGGGGACAAATATGTAGAATGTATTGGCTTGTTACAAAAATATTACAGGATATCCTTAGCATTTTAATTATCACTAAACTATGTCACAGATACGATAAAGGAAGGGTAAGCAAAGTTTTCAACAATGAAAAAATTTTAATCCTCACAGTGGGTGCCCTTCTCTGGGCTGGTGGCCTCCAGGTGGCCRACTGCACATTCAGTTCCACAGCACTGCACCCGCTCATCCAAAACACAGGACAGTGAAAGGCCCAGACAGCTCCTGTTCCTYGGCCCAGACATAGGCCAGAATCATCAGTACAAGCAATCAGTCTCCATCACCACTTTGCTGGCCCAGGTTGGTCTCTGACTTCTACCTAATCTAGATGTTAGACACTGATTTCACTAGGTGACAATCCTGCTGGCCTCTCTAGACAGCTCTTGGCCTAAGGCAGTTGCCTTTTTGGTTTCTCAGAAGACATAAAGAGGTAGGATTCCAGGGGAGACAAATTTCCCACCAGCAGACTTTATTTAAAGAATTAGTTTGTGGTTAAATGCTAGCCCAAAAGTTCAGAATTTGCTTCAGTTTCTGCTCAGCCAAGATTCAATCTGGGAAGGCTCTGAGCTTTTCTGCACCTCRGTTTCCCAACTTCATTGTCCCTGTGGCATTCCTTACATACCAAGGGATTTTGTGGAAATATGGATATTAGAACTTGCAAGATGTGTAGTTAGATATATATAGATAGATAGATAGATAGATATAAATATCATACACAGATTAACTAAGAAATAATAGGACCTGTGAAATGGTGTGTTAAGGAAAAGGAGAGAACAATAAAATACTGAGAAAAAATTCTTCAGTCAGATTCAAGTAATGATGATTTAACTGTTCTTCAAAAGCATACAAGGCATACTTGTGAAGGTCTAGTTATATATAGGTGAATTTTGCCAAGTATGAGTTCTTGCAGTAGTCAAGATAACATCTCTAGACATGGAGCATAAAAAATGGAGAGACTGTTGCTTTTACAACATAAGAGTATTTCTGGATCATACAGGGACAAAATGCTTCCTCGTGCATGTGGAAGAAAGTAAACGAGACCTTTGATTCATTCTTTTCAAACCATATTTATAGAATGAAGATCATGCATATTTGAAGGGTTGTACAGAGGTCATCTAGTCTAGCCCACTGCTCAAAGCAGGGCCAGTTAGAACAGGCTGCTCAGAGCCTCCTTGTCTCCAGTTCTGAATATCTCCAAGGCTGAACACTTTCCCACTGATCTGGTCCCTGTTTCAGTGTTTGACAAACCTAATTGTATTTTTTTTTTCATTATGTCAAATGACAAATTYCCATGTTCCAGTTTGTATCTGTTGCTTCTCATGCATCTCTGAGAATAGTCTGTTCTGTCTTCTCTAGGCAGCTGTAGACAGCAGGAAGAGCCTTCACCTTCTCTTCTAAAGGCGGAACAGACATAAGTCCTTTCAGATTCTTCATACATCATGAGCAGTAGTCCTCTGATCAGCCTCATGGCTTCATTCCATGTGTCAATGTCTTGTACTGGCAAGGCCACATCTGTGCACCAGTACTCCAGATGTGGTCTCAGGAGGGCCAAATAGAGGGGAAGAACCACTTCCCTCAACTGACTGGCTGGTCTTGCTGATAGCAGCCCAGTATGCGGTTATCCACCTTTGCCACAAGGGCACACTGCTGACTCACACTCCACGTGCTGACCATCCAGGTCTTCCAGCAGCACCTGCTTGACTTTCTGCACAATGGAGTTCAGAACACTTTCTAGAGGAAGTTGTCCCTGAAGATCAACTAGCTGTCCTGGGACAGCTAGTCTCAGCTAGTTCCTGGGACAGCTTGCCCTCTAGGGCAGTCTGTCATTGGATCATGCCAACAAGATTCCCAAGTAAGCCAAAATTTGTTCTCCTAAAGTCCAGGGTTGTGGTTCTGCTGTTCGTCTTGCTCACTTCTCAAGATTTTCTGCTCCACAGTCTTGTGTTTGCTGCAGCCAAGGCTGCACCTTCTCATCTTTGACCAGTTCTTTCTTGTTTGCAACAGATCCACCACAACATCTTCCATGGCTTCTTTCTTCTCTAGTATGCTCCAAGTACCCAATATAAAACAGAAATATCTCCTCTGTCTTTTTTTTTTTTTGGTGGTGGTGATTTTGGCAATCAGATTGTTCAGGTGGCCCTGTATTTTTTTTTTTCTGCAAGAATATGCAGCAGTGGCTGCTTAAGAAGAAATGTCAGAAGCAGTTTAGAGAAACTAACCTCTGGATCAGAATTCACTCGGAGTTTCTCAGCTATGTAGACAATACTGAGTTTTGCCATCCCAAAGACCAAGAAGGGGCTGGCCTATGCTGCTGTCAAGAAAAGGGAAAGGACAATACCTTAAGCAGAGAGCCAGCAGGCAGACAGTTTAAGGAGCAGATCCCTGGAAAACAAGCTTTTTTGCTCCTACTGCCACACAGGACATGGGAAAGCCTGGAGAGGTATTTTCCAAGCAGTCAGAGCTGCCCTCAACCTCTCCCTTTGCTCTGTGATGCAGCTAATGGTATTTTTAGAGCTGCAGCATTTACAGTGAGGCCCTGGCCTTTTTGCTTCCTCTGCCTTAGACAACAGTTATTTTATCTACATACAAGATAGTTTTGCTCCTAGATTAGCTGATATCAGTATGTATTATATAAAAAGTGTTCCTTCCTATTCATCTTCCACATTTTTAAGTGCTTAGAGGTCAGAGTTGCTGAAATAACTGGCAAAAGCAAATTTGTAATTTTGTTAGCTCGGTGGGAAAACACAGCCATGGCAACTGAGGTGGATTCTGTTCTGCTTCATGCATTGTCAAGAGCTCTGTCTGTTAAGTTACAATTACAGGGGCTGTTTTACTGGTATTTTTATTAAGAGTCTGAAAACACAGCTGGATTTTCAGAGCACCAGTTGAGTTTGTAAGTCTGACAGCTCAAGACAGTTTTTTTGACTTACGAGCTGGGCAAATTTAGAAACCATTGAAAGAGCATTAACACAGAAACCCATAATATTCCGTTTGCATAATAGGAGTGTAACAGCCAGAAAAGGCTGCAGTCTTTCCCCCTCCTTGCTTCTGAAAGATTAATGGGTCAAATCTATAGTTCATTCATGCACTGAAAGCAGGAAACAGCTCACACATTTAAGAAGAGCCATATATTTTATCCTTGTGCTAGAGCTAAAAACCTACATAAAAATGGAAGGCGTATTTGAATCAGAAGATGAGGCAGCTGAGTTTATCTAACACCTCAGCACCATTGAAAGAAGATATCTCACCTACCTCCATTTTCAAAACTTCTCTGTGTTGCTATGTCTGGTTTTGCACTGCTTACCTTCCAGGGCTTCTGCTTTTCATCAGGCCAGCAATGAGCAAGTTTGCTCACTCAGTAACCTGGGAGAAAACTGATCTAGCAAAGTAATTTTCTCTTTTTTTCTTTAATGRACCAAAGCAGACGTCAGTAACTTCTCTCATGACCACCACAACTGGTGCAAGGGAAGAGTGGAATATGAATGAGAGATGGGTAAGCAAGAAAAGATCTTATCGTGGTAGTGATGAGCTATTAAACCAGCTCAGCCATCTCCTGCAGCGTCCTTGTGTTTATCTTCAAGGTTTATCTCCAAGAATGAAAGAGTTTGACCCAAGGTACAGGTCTGTATATGTTGCTCTAGCATCTCTGCCGGCATGGTGACAAGCTCTGGTGGAGGGGCAACAAAAGCAGAGTTAGTAAAGTCTAACTTACATTGTGGTTTCTTGGTCAACAGCAGGTCGCTTTGGCAGCCGCATCCCTGCCCATCCAAACATCATCTTAGTACTTCCACTTGCCCTCCTTTTCTGTGCCAGGTGGTGATTTATAGAGCTGCATGATGAATCATAGAGGTCAAATGATCTGGTTGAAGGAAGCAAACAAAATATCTCTTTTTTGCCCAGTTGTATTAGATCAGCTCCCTTATTTGTTTATTGCGTATGAACAGTTCTGCTGGTGCAGTGCAGGGGGTGGCACATGAACCACTGGTGGGAAGACAGGGAGGTGGGAGAAGAAAAAGTCAGGATTGCTTAAGCTAGTGTTGTAATCAAATACATCTTTGTGGACCCACAGCTCATGTGAGACACATTTAGACTGTATGAAACATGTTTACAAAGGGATTTCAGACCCCAGTTTATGACAGGAATGTGAAGGATCTGCAGCCTCACTGAATCTGGGACAAGATCCAATAGCAATGCAACCTTCCAGCTGTTGGCTTGGCATGGTAGTA